AGAATTTAGTCCAAATTTTTTGTTTGTTTCAAGAAAATGTTCCATCCTGTTCCATCCATTCGACCCCACTAATGATTAGAAAACTGAACAAACAAATTTTTAACAGCGAATGTGGTTTTTGTTTGGGAAAGTCCATTCACTTCAAAATCGGATGTTGAAAGCAAACAAACCTTTGAATCAAAATTTTGATCAAATGTACTGAGAATTCCAATACAAATATTTATTCATTTAACAATATACTAGTATATGTCCAGTGTGGCAACTTGGGGTATTGTAGCTCATTGGTAGTGCAAAACAGGGACTGACTCCACGCCAGAGGTATTTTTTTTTTCAAGGCATTTTCTGACCACTTTTATTTAAAACAAAAAGGAAGTTCACAAACGAATACCTTCCCACACAGGATGCTTCCACCATAAATACAACAAAACATAGTATTCAGCTTTGGGGCTCCTATCGCAGCTTTATCACTTAGGCTTAGTACCTTTGGTCCTCCTGACCTTCATACACATCCCAGTGGTCATGCACCAACTGCTGTACCTCTTGCAGTTGGTCTCTTTTCCTGCAGCTCCCTGCTGCTACGTCCTTCTCTCTCTCGCAGGCTCGGGGCTCTGTCTGTTCTGTCTTGGACAGCACGGTGCAGACGTACACCTTTCTCTGCTCCCAACATAAACTGACTCCCTTGGGAGGATGGGGCCCTGAGCCTTAGCTCTGGCTTTAATATGAGCCAAGCAGGCACCTGCTCCACTAGTGTGCTTGTTTTCTCCAAAACCCGTCCAATATTGCCATTTTACACAGTGGCATGGCCTCTCCCTGCCGCACCAGCTTTATTCAGATAAAAAGTAAAGAGGGCTATTGAATGGTGGGAGGGGGAGGGAATCACAGAGGTCATAAAACTATCTGATAATAAGTAGTGCTTGGACCAAGTAGAAGGGGTAAACCCCTTAAAACTTGTCTAGAAAATTTACTGGTAGTACAATTAAAAATGATCACAGGACATTACCAAACTTGTGTTGTAAGTGCACAAAAAATGGCTACAATCGAGCCTAACCCGTTTTTCTCCACTCTGGGACACTGGTTCCCTCATTGCCCTCATGAGTTACCCCTACCTCTGGAGCCTATGAGTGGGAACCTGGTTGCTAGAAGTGTTGCACCCACCAATAAAAGCTGTCCAAATCATGCAGGCAGAAATGTGGGCCCCCAAAGAAGGACCCCAGGAAGTAAACATAAGAAGAGATCATCATGTGACAGTGGCTTCAGGTAAGTTTGGATATGCTTTCATACTGGTGGTTAGTGGAGTGTGGATGAGGTTCTTGCTAAGCCTTACATTGGGCTTCAAAAACTACAGAAAGTAGAGTTAGTAAGCAGGCAGGCTGTCATTCTCTTACAGGTCTACTTCCAGTTCATTGCAACAGATAAAAAAAACTGCACCATGATTTATGACTGATCATTATCTGTCACCCTGACCTCTCTGTAATATGTACAATACTTTGACAGACTGCTTATTGCTCTTTTTTCTGGGTAACTGTAGAAGGCAAAGCAGCTCAGCTGTCATAGGATTAGTATTGAGAGCAATAGAGAGAAAAGATTGTTTAAATTTCACTCTACAAGGTGCCTGTTTCCACAAATATCTTATCTGTGTCCCTTAATTTACATTATAAATGTGTTTTTAAAGCTACTAACATTAGCTTATTAAAGTGCATTTTCACTTTTGCAGTTGTACTTTGTTTTAATTTACACTAACATCCAAATTTTCAGGACAAGCCTTCAGGGTGCACCCACTTCTTCAAGGGCCAAGCAGTATGAACACAAAATCTTCATAGAATGTTCAAGCAGAGCCTACTCTATAACAATATGATAACAATTAATGTTCTTTAACAAAAGAACATGCATTCCACATTAATAATTATACTACTAAAATGAGTGTGTGCTGTAAATTGCCTCCAGCATTGTTACTGTTTCTTCTTGGTGGCTGGAGGCCACAATTTTGTTGAAGCCCAGAGTAGTCACTTCCTTGGGGGAAACTTTAACGCTCTCCTTGGTCTCAAATACTATATGTTACTTTCTGTAAATAAAATATGTACAGTACATTTGCAGCTTTGATTGTATGTCTTGGTTCAGATAGCGAGGAAGGCCTACAGAAGCTTTAGGCCTTATGCACACAGGATGTTTTAGAAAGACTCCTCCTCTTGGCAGAAGAGTTTTGGCAGAAAGAACACCTGATGCTTGTCGAAGTGTCTAACGCTTTTACAAGATTGGCCGTTAATTAATTTCATTGGCCATAATAATAATTTATTATATACTCGTTTTTTATTTCAGCAGCACCCTGTACAGCTACTGGAACACAACAATGCATACTGTTTGTAGCTGATGCTGCACACAGTTGAACCACTTCCCCTCCGGCCCATGTACATAAATGGCCAGACGGGAGCAGTGCAGGAGCGGGTAGCCGTTTATAAACGGCCTCCACATTCACTGCCTGTGCGCGCTCCTCCGGACACTGCAGAACACCAATTGCTGTACAGGACCTCTGTGTGACGTCCCAATCATGTGATCACTGATTGAGTACCATAGTGTTTAGTGGTAAACAAGATGTCACTTCCTGACATCATTGCTTACTACTTGTGAAAGATCAGAGGTCACATGGTACAAGGCTATTCACAACAGCCTTGTACCATGGGCAGCACAGTGGCTAAATGGTTAGCACTTCCGCCTGGCAGTACTAGGGTCGTTGGTTCGAATCCCAGCCACGGCACCACCTGCCTGGAGTTTGCATGTTCTCCCTGTGCCTGCGTGGCTTTCCTCCATGTACTCCGGTTTCCTCCAAAGACATGCTGGTAGTTTAACTGGATCCTGTCTAAATTGGCCCTAGTATGTGTATGTATGAATGTAAGTTAGGGACCTTAGATTGTACACCCCTTGAGGGTTAGGGACTGATGTGACTGTATAATTTATATGTAAAGCGCTGCGTAAATTGATGGCGCTATACAAGTACCTGAAATAAATAAATCACAGCTCTCACAGTATTTCTCAATGGCTGCAAGAATGCAGCCAGAGAGAAGGAGAAATGATTGCTTTTACAGCCTTTATGGGTGTAAAAGCAATCAGTGTAAAAAAGAAAAATCTTCATCACCCCCCACAAGTAGTACAGTGTCATTATGGTGACACTGTACTGCTAGAGTGACAGTATGTAAAAAAAAAAATTTATATTATAAAAAAAATAAATTATAAATGTAAAAAAAAATTAGAAACATTATAATTTTTGGTTATAAACTAATTTGGGTTATTTTTTTTTACTGAAAATATAGCTTAATACATTTTGGCCAAGATTTATGAAGAAAGATTATTTATTTGCAAAATGTTATAAGAAAAACACTTTTTTTTTTAAATGTTTGGACTTTTTTCATTTATATAGCAAAAAAAAAATCTCTGGTGAATAAATACCACCAAAATAAAGTTTTATCTGTCTCAAAAAATGCTACAGTACAGATATCCCCCAAATGACCCCTTTTTGGAAAGTAGACATTCCAAAGTATTTATTAAGAGGCATGACAAGTTTTTTTGAAGATGTAATTTTTTGTCATTAATTTTTGGAAAATTAAGAAATGAAAATAAGATTTGTCACAATTTTGTTTTACATATTGTGACCAGTGCAGTACAGTGTCATCATATAAAGTGTGGTAGTGATCATGGACACTGACGGATGACAGTATGAAAAAAAAACAAATAATTTTTAAAATTGTAACCTTTTTTTTTTTTTGATTACTTTTTTTTTAATTATTGTTTTTTTTTTACACACTGTGACCAGAACAATATAATGTTACTATAGAAACATTGTACTGCTCTGAGGAAGTAATCAGTATTTATTTATTTTTTTTACACATTACAAGTGCTTATAGTAATGAATTTCATTGCTATAAACAAGCATTTTACTGAATGAAATCAATTAATTCAGTTTTTTTTTTTGTGATTATCTGTGCTTGGCCATAGCTAATCACATGGCACAGTTGGGCTGTGATTGACCCATTCTGTTCCATGTGATCACTGGGATCAATCACAGCTAACAACACAATTGTGCACAATGGATGGCATGAAAGGAAGCCATCCATTGTTTATAATTGTCATGTGACCTGCTGTGATTGGTTGGTACAGTAATCAGTCATAGCTCGGCCCTCGGCGCAATCTGGGAGGACATTGTATGATGTCCATCTAGATCAATGAAAGTCGATCTAGCAAAATGACGGCCGGGCAGGAACTGGTTAACTAAACCTGCAATTAGGCTTTCCTTTGTAATACTGCAAGTGAAGGCACACTATGAGTTTAAAATGATTGTAAAGCTTTATTTTTTTTTAATAAAATAACAAACATGTCATACTTACCTGCTCCGTGCAATGGATTTCACAGAGCAGCCCTGATCCTCCTCTACTTAGGTCCCCAGCTGGTGCTATTGGCTTCACTGCCCCCCCCCATACCAAAGCTGCTTTCTATGGGGGAACTCATGCCGCCTTACTCTTGAGCCACCCTGCCTGTGTCTATTGACTCAAGCAGTGCAGCTCAGCCCCGCCCCCCTGCTCCCTTGTCACAGAATTGGATTGACAGCAGTGGGAGTCAATAGATCCCACTGCTATGAATCTAAACTGTGAGGAGAGAGAGCGCTGTGCTACTCTCATGCACAGCGCTGGATTGAGATCGGACTCAGCTAAGTACTGTATAAGGGGGTTGAGAGGGTGTTTCTGTGACAGAGGATTTTTTTACCTTATTGCATTCTAAGGGTTACATTTTAGAACTTCTTTAAAGTGTTACTAAACCCACAACAGTAAAATCAGTCTGTATATGCAGTAAAGCATGCTTGTTATCTTGTTATACTCACTGTGGAACCTAAGGGGTTAATCATCCGCATTGTCTAAAAATTATATGTGATCCTGACTTCTCTGATCCTTCCCTTCCTCCAGTATCCCCCTCTTATATCCTAATAAGAAATATCGTGTGGAGTCACTCTGCACATGCTCAGTTTAGTGTTTATTGCTAAAGGTTTTTATTTTCTTGGAAGAATGCATGTGATCAGCACAGGGCCAATCAGCACTGTCCAGACAGAGGTCAGGGGTTCCGTATCCTCCTAAAGCAGGATGAAAACTCCTCCTACAAGCTTTAACAGTGCTCTGCTGGACACTGATAGAAGTCACAAGCTTGCTCAAACTGCCGATGAGTAAAAGTATTTAGCAGTTTATATTTACTAACATTATTGCACTTCCATGTTCTGTGTACTGTGGGAGATCAGGTATAGTGAATGCAGGGTCCTGGGTTTAGTATCACTTTACATCCAGGGGGGATGCATGACATCTCCTGGGCTTATCTCTGTTATTTACATCTGACAGTTTTATTGCTCTACTGAGAAGATGGCTATTGCTGTGTTTCCAAGAGCCCTACACTGATTCTACACTAATTCTTCAGGTCTCATCATTTTTCCACATTAGAGTCGGTGCAGCTGTTAGGCCTCCTCTCTTCTTCTCCTACTGTCCACTCACAGAAGCCTTTGTATTCTGTGAACTCATTCACAAAATACAAAGGCTTCTCTGAATGGGCGGCAGAGCAGAGGGGTGGACATAGCTGCTCTGTGTGCCTCTCTCCCCTCTCTCACAGTCCTGAGTGTAAGCGTATGCTGCAGCAGAGCCATAAACCTATCAGATACTGTATAAATAATAGAAATAAATTCATGCAGCTCCTTGTAATTAATTTTTATTTATTATTATACAGGATTTATATAGCGCCAACAGTTTGCTCAGCGCTTTACAATATAATGGGAGACAATACAGCAACAATACAGTTCAATACAAGAGGGTTAGGAGGGCCCTGATCCTTGGAGCTTACAATCTAATTAGTGTGCCTGCACTTTTTACAAAGTGGCTGAATTCCTGGAATTCAGCTTTAAGTCCTGGTTCACACCAATGCAGTTTGCTTTTGATCTGTTTTTGCAATGCTTTCTGCATTCCGCTTTGCATTTTTTTTGCTGTGTTTTTACCACGTTTTGCATTTTTTTTTTTTCAACAGGTTTTTTTTTTGTTGAAATGTTTTTGTTGCTGGGCAGAATAAAAGTGCAAAAAAGCAAAAACACACCACATGCATTTCAGCAGCGCCCTCTATTGAACTTTATTGTAGTAAAAACGCTGCTTTTCGTGCTTTAAAAACTCCCTACCCCTTTCCAAAAGCGCAGTGGCTGAAAAACGCATAAATGTGAACATGTCCCATAGGAATCCATGTCAAATGGACTGTAGTGCGTTTCTATAAAAAGCAATAAAAAAAAACGCATTGGTGTGAACCAGGTCTTAAAAGCAAAGCAGAAGTGTTTTGTTATGCTACAGTATGTGAAAGAGAACATGTAGAAAATATGTAATAGGTGTTATCCCAATTTTGGTTGCAAAAATGGAAATGTTGACTTCACATTGATATGTTAGGTAAAAGGGGATAAAACGTGTTTTCACACTGTGCACTTTAATAAGATGCACAGTAAGGCACCACCCTTTTTAATTTTCATTACTATTAATTTAGACTTGACACCCCAAAGCATAACTACAGTAGGTGGTAAAGCATATTTTGTATGCATGTTGGAACAAATGACCCATTAAAATTAGGCTGTATCTGTATTACACACCAGCAGTTCAGGATGTTCAGTTGGCCACATAGGCTTGAATGATTTGCAAGGCTGCACCCACTAGACTAAAAAGAGGTAGTGATGACATGTAAATGCTTTCCATTTTTAAGAAGGCATGCTGTACTCTTTCTAATTTTAAAGCAAGTCAGTCTTAGTACACTTAATATATTTAACACTAGGGATCTCAGAGCATTAATCGGATTTACATTAAGTGTTGAAACACTGATCCCTTACACATAGAAGAGGTCATCATGCAGGAATGCCATCATTTAGAAGACACATAAGAAGACGGTTGGATGCTGCTAGATTGCCTAACTGGTATAAAGAAAATAATCATCTCTGTAAAAGTCAAATATGAATGCTGCTAGGTTTACTTAGTGTCGTGGCAGTTTATAAGTAAAAATAAATTGTGCAAGTCATATTTGTGTAAGGGATTGGCGGTCTTAGTACTATGGTGTATGAAAGACCTTTAATTGTTCAAAAGCGCAAATGACCAGTAAAACCTTGATTTACTTCATACCTTAAAACTGCAAATTAAACATATGCTATCATTCAGAATTGTTAATAACACTGCTAAATGTTAGCATAAGCACTGGTACACACACAAGGCAAGGTAACACATAGGCGCACCCTAATTCAGTCTAACAGGTACAGTATACATACACTAAGTGTCAACAGACATGACCCCCATAATCAGACAGTTTAAGGATATATACAGGAAGTCGCTGCCCAAAAAGACAGACAGTCTTTCAGGAAAGAGCAAGGCTAGAGAACAGCCAAACTGTTGTATTAAAAAAAAAGAGACCCTTCCATGCATACCCTGCTTTTGCTGCTCTCTATGTAAAACAAAATATAGTATCCTGCTACCACAATGGCACATTCAGTGCACAGGCTAGCTGCGGAACATGTTAGCAATGAAAGTGACAAAAATTTTGAAGAGAAATGGAAATCAGCAAGGATAAAAGGGTGCTAGGAGACCAAATCACAGCAAATGTGCAATAGGGTTTTAAACAACAATTGAACAGCATGAGGATAAGGATACTGGCTTTTGGAATTTTATTTCTTGTTCAAACATATTATTAATTTTCAGAGCCAAAAGAAAAAACATATGGCATCTCAAATACAAGCACATGAACAAAAGAATAAGAAACACAAAAAGTAAAAAAAAAGGAGGAAAGGGGGGAGAAATGGGAGGGCAGGTTCCTCAACCACAGAAAGGGATTACAGTGCAATAAACATTTAACAAGGTACCCTTGCTAGCAATGGAAGTTTGGTTTAGTGAAGGAAGATGAGACATGGTCAAGCTCTGGGAGGAGGGCAATATTTCCTAGAACTGCAAGAGGGTTCCGCGTAAAGCCAAGGGGAAAGAATTAAGGTAGGAGAAAGAGAGGAGGAGAGGAGAATAGGAAGAAACAGAGGAAGGTACAAAGAAGGAGGGGGGGAGGTGTGTGACTTCCGGGGAAAAGAGGAGGTTCTCGGGACCAAACCGAGGTATTATTTAAACAGATATGGTAGTGTCTTCACAAGGAGGGACTAGGTAGCGCTAAGGGAGAAGCAGCGTATCGTCAAAGCGGAAGGAACTGGTCCACCATGTGGTCCATATCGACAGAAACTTGGGGACTGAATCTAGGACAGTTGCTTCCACTTTGGCATGGATTATGGTTTGTGTAACTTTATGCTTAACTTCAAGAGTGCTCAAAGATGGGGACTTCGACGCTTTGGCTATGATCTGCTTGGCTGCTGTGGTAATTAGTAGGAGAAGATTAAAATTGGGTTTTAGAAATAGAGGGGACTTGAAGATTTAAGAGGGCTACAGTCGGATATGGTGGTAGTGGTTTAGCAAATAGTAGGGATATGAAAAATGTCAGTCCAGAAGGTTTGGGCAACCACCAAATATGATACTAAGTTCCGACCATCACACAACCCCTAAAGCAATCTGGAGAGTAGCCGGGGGTATATTTAGCGATTCTTGCTAAATACCATTGTGTCAAAACTTTGTAATTAGTCTCAACGGCCACCAAATTCTGCAAGGAGAACTTGGTAGCTGACCAGATACAGTCCCAGTTTGTAGGGCCCAGTTGAAGTCCTAGATCTTTCTCCCATCTGGTGACATATGTAGGAGTTGGAAGAGACTCTGGTGTGGACAAAAGGTTATAGAGAGCTGAGATGAGGCCTCGCCTATGCGGATCCACGTAGCAAGAGCGTTCAAAGAAGGACATTGGATGAGTAAAGTGGAATTGGGTGGCGGACGGAGCATAGAAGTGCTGTAGTTGAAAGGATCTAAAGATTTCCGATGCTTGGAATAGAGTGTGTTTCCAGTAGAGAGGAGAAAGGTTTGAAGCGCCTACTGGTCAAAAAGTGTTGAGCACGAAGTAGGTTAGCCGAGGACCAGTGATGGAAGGAGCGCGGGGAGGACCAGGCTGGTGAAAAGGCCAGGTTCTGGAGGTAGGAGAGTAGGGGGTTATGCAGCGACTGAAGAAGGTAGCGAGATTTTAGCCCATCCCAGAGGGAAAGGAAATGGGATGTAATCGGGTTAATAAGCATCCGGTGATCTGAAGACCTGAGCTAGAGTAGATTGGCAGTTGAGAGAGGATCATAGTTTATGGATTTTTGTGTGTCGCATGGTACTTTGATAGTTGTGCTAGCTGCGCTGCTTGATAATATTTAGTAAAGTCCTGGAGACCGAGACTGCCAATAGACTTAGACTTAGATTTATGTATAGTTAAAGGAGGAATACGAGGATGGATGGAACCCCAGATATATGAGTAGGCATGTTGTTGTAAGATGCGGAGAAAATGCATGGGTACTGATAAGACTCTAAACAGTTGCAGTATTTTAGGAAGGATAGACATTTTTATTATAGTTATTCTGCCCATCCAGGCCAATGGTAGAGAGGACCATTTGGTCATAAGGTTAGTGAGGTGAGTTAGCTTAGGTAGGTAATTTGCGGAATAAAGGTTGGAAGGGTTGGTGGTCAGCTTAACGCCTAAATAGGGGATGGAGGACTTGTTGCAGGTGGGACAGGTCATGAGAGTTTAAGGAGATATTTAGTGCCATCGACTTTTGGGGATTAACATGTAGGCAAGAGATATGGCCAAAATCATGGAGAAGCTGGAGTAGGGTCGGGATAGAGATCAGTGGGGAAGTGAGGAAAAGGAACACGTCGTCAGCAAAGAGGCAAAGCTTATGGTGGGTGCCACCTATCTCTGGACCTTGGATATCAGGACTGTTTCTAATCAAGAGGGCTAGGGGTTCAATGGCTAGGGTGAAAAGCAAAAGGGATAGTGGGCATCCTTGTGTCACGATCCGCCTGGCGGCGTCTTTATCGGTCCACAGCACGGGGTTCCTCAGGGTGCGGGGTCTAAGCCCCAATCTGCTTATTCACCAGGGCCCCTGATGGTGGGGATGGATGTGGAGCAGACTGAGACCAGGTCGCGACCCCTGAGTACGTCCGCCAATGGTAGAGAGCACCGTCAGAGGAGTGCGGGTAAAGGAGTCTGATGTGAAAAGGCTGGCAGACCTGGTAACCGGGAACGATCCGTGCGGGATGGATCGTCTGGGTGACGTGAAGCGTAGTCAGACAGGCCAGGTCAGCAACGTGCGGTCAGCGAGGGTACCGGAGTAGGCAGAGAATGGTCGGGGTCACAAGCCGGGTTCAGTAACTAGCGGACAGCGCTGTACAGAGGATCAGGCAGAAGGATGGTCAGGCAAGCCAAGCAGGAGACAATTAGCAGGGTCAGGTACAAAGCAGAGGTCGGCTACGGAATAAAAACTTGATCAGGTATCAGGAACAGAGCACAAAAGACCAAATGGCAACTTGACATACCTCTAGTCCTGTTTAAATAGCCTGCCCTGTGCTATCATTGGTGCCAGGCGCGCGTCCCGCGATCGCGAGTGCGCATGTGCGGCCGTCACGATCGCCCAGGTCCCGCTGCTCGCTGGCTAGGGTGCATCGGTGTTCTGTGCATGCGCCGCCCGGCGCATCGCGGCAGGGACACTGATCCCTGACACCTTGGCGGGTTCCACGGAGGATTGGGAACGAAGCTGAGTTGTGTCCATGGTATCGAACACTGGCTGACGGCTTGTTGTATAAGGACGAGATCCATGTTAAAAAGTGAATTTCAAAGCCCCAGCGACATAAGTTAAAGTTAAGGAAGGGCTAAGAGACCATATAAAAGGCCTTTCTGATATCCAGAGCGAGAAAGCATGTGGGGATGTTACGAGATTGAGCCAATTGTGCCAGGAGAATCGCGCGCATAATGTTGTCACCTGCTTGGCGTACAGGCACAAAGCCGACTTGGTCGTTATGGATGAAGGAGCCTATAAATGAGTTAAGACAAGTAGAGAGTATTTTAGTGAGAAGTTTAATGTCTAAATTAAGGAGGGAAATTGGCCTATAGTTGGACCAGGCAGAGTCATCAGAATTAGGCTTTGGAATCATAGAAATAGTGGCTGCCACTGTTTCGGGTTTGAAGGATTGACCAGAGAGGATGGCATTGAAGGCATTCATGAGAACTGGAGAAAGAAGGTGGGCGTATTTCTTGTAGTAGGCTGCAGATAAGCCGTCCAGACCAGGGCACTTGCGCAGCATCAGGGTCTTGATAGCAGTCAGGGTTTCTGTCAGGGTGATTGTTCTCTCCAGGAGTTCCAGCTGCTTATCAGACAGTCTCAGAAAAGTGAGGTGGGCCAAGAGAGTTTTGGCACGAGAAATGTCAAACGTTTCCGTAGAGGAAAACAGCTGGGACAGGTGCTTGCGAAAGACCTGCAAGATGCGTACTGGATTACTAGTATAGTTGCCCGGTGAGATACGTAACTGGATCAGCTTAGTAGCTCAGTCCAATCTGCGAAGCGAGAGTGCGAGGATTGTGTCAGGTTTGTTAGTTTTAGTGTAATATTTGTGACGTGATCTACGGAGAGAAAGTTCTGCTTGGTCTGTGAGGAAAAAGGTCCAGCTCCAATCGGGATTGTTCTAAGGTTTTGTGAGTGCTAGGTGATGGTGTGGCCTGGAAGGCTTGATGAAACTGGTTCTAATCGCCTCGAGACGGGAACTTTGTAGGCGTTTTAATCTGTTTAGAAAAGATGCTTTGCTGTTACAGAATCCCCTAAGAACTAGTTTGTGTGCCTTCCATAGGAGGAGGGGCGAGATATCTGGCGTGGAATTGGTAGACAGGTAATCTTTGAGAGCAATCTCAATGTCTAGGTTGTGTGAAGGATGGGATAGAAGGTTATCATTTAGTACCCAAGAGGTTTCAAGTATCAATGGGGCCAGAGATGGAATGCTTGTGAGAACTGCACTATGGTCCGACCAAGGTATAGGAAGAAGGTCAGAGGCAAGAAGCCGGAAGGATGATCCGACAGTCATGAATATATGGTCGATACATGAAAATGTCTTGTGAGGGTGTGAATAAAAGGTGTACCGGCGTTTCACCAGGTTAAGTTCTCTCTATGTATCGACTAAGTAGTGACGATGGAGGAATTGTTGGAAAGATATTTTGAGGTGGAAGAGACGGCTGGGAGGATTTGTCTAGAAAGGGGTATAGTGTACAGTTAGAGTCTCTACCACATTTGTGGCAGTCTGTGATAGTCAGAAGATGAGAGAGAAACGGTAGTGGGCCCTGGTTAGGAGCGTAATAGGTGACGATGGTAATATCAGAATTGAGAAGTAGTCCTGACAGGAGGAGGTATCGACCTTCAGGGTCTCTGATTTCGGCTTGAAGAGTAAAAGGGGTTGTGAGATGGAAGGCTATTAGGACGCCTCTTTTTTGGAAGCACTGGAAGCAGTAAAGACCTGGGGATAGAGGGGCCCAAAAAATTTGGGCGTGGAAGTGGAGGCGTAGCTGTGAAAGCAATGAACAATTATAGCAAGACATAACCAAAATATTTTATAACTTAAACATAACCAACGACCAAGAGGTTGAAATGGGCTAAGGGAAGTTGTAATTTAGACATCACGAGGGAAGGAGTTTGTCCGCTGCTGTCAGTGTTGAGGCAACCAAGGAAGATGGTCTGAAGGGGCGACACAGCCCTATGAGGGAAAAAAAGGTAAATCCAAGCGCGCTCGCTAGCTTCAATCCATCGAGTCTTGAGGAGCGGGATCAGATGAGGAGTATCGACCACCTGAGGCAGAGTGAGAAGGGCAGTTCTTTTCTGGAGAGGTAGATGCTGACCATCTATGGGAGCCATCCAGAGAGGCCATATGAGGCTGTAGCTGGAGGTTCTGCAGTATGTCAAGCAGGTCGTCTGGTGATCTACAGGTGTAGTCCCGGAATTGGAAGGAGTACCGAACCATGAATGGGAAGCTCCATCTGTATGCGATACCTTGCTGTTGAAGGACCAGGAATTGGGGTTTCATTGATCTACATTGCTTGGCAATTGTAGCTGGGCATAGGTCTTGGAACAATTGATAGCTATGGCTCTGAAACGTCAGGGGCCCTGCGGTACGGGTCGCTTGGAGGAGCTGTTCTTTTGTGCGGAAATAGTGGAATCTGGCAATGGTGTCACATGGCGGACCATCTGGGCGACGGGGGGCCAATGCACTGTGAACTCTGTCCATTTCAAGGCGTTCAATTGGTATTTCTGGGGCCAGTTCTTGAAACAGGGCTGTGACAGTGGAAAGGACGTCCGTGATTGACTCTGGGAGGTTGCAAATTCACAAGTTGGAGCGGTGGGCCGGCCCTGTTTTAAAAGTCCTCTAGCCAGGACTGCAGGGTCGCATTTTCATCGCGCAAAAGTTCAAGCTCATCAGAATGGGTATGGAGGGAGTTGTCCAGGTTGTTAACCCGATGTTCCAGGTCAGAGGTGAGTTGCCCCAATTTGCGGATTTCTTTGGAGTTTGTCGGTAATGCAATTTGAGGTTTGTTTCAGGGCCTTGTGCAGCATCTTCTCCAATTGTTTGAGGAGGTCAGGAGGGGTCAGGTCAGAGGTGGTAGTGCGTAGGGGGGTCCCCAGGTCAGAGTCAGACTCACCATCAGAAGAACCTGGGGATCTGGGATGAGTTGGCTGCAGTGCAGCATAGGGGTGTGTCTGTGTCTGTGCTGGTAAAGCAGGGATGGCGGCCATCTTGGAAGAGGCTATAGTTAATGCCTTTTTAATTGTCGCCCTTCGTGGCTGCGGTTGATGTTTGCCGGCGCCCCGGACCATCTCAGCGGGTGCCGAGGGGAGTTGGCAAGGCAACCCGAGGAGAAGCGGGGCCGGGAGTGGTGTCCTGAAGGCTGCTTCTTCATCTCTGTGGCGGAGCCTCAGGCAGACATGTCCGTCTCGGCTGCCCTGCACATGCACACCCCTTGGAATTTTATTTCAAGTTAAAAAGTGGTATTGAACCCAAAAACAAAAATGTAATACATTTCAGCTGAGAAGTGTTACTAAACCCACAACAATAAAATCAATCTGTATATGCAGTAAAGCATGCTTGTTGTACTCACTGTGGAACCTAAGGGGTTAATCCTGTGCATTGTATAAAAACACTGTTTGATCCTGACTTCTCTGATCCTCCCCTTTTTCCAATGTCTCCCTCTTATCTCTTGATAAGACATATTGTGTGAAGACACATGCTCAGTTTGGTGTGTATTGCTAGAGAGGGTTTTTTTTTTTTTCTTGTGAGAGTGCTTGTGATCAGCACAGGGCCAATCAGCACTGCCCAGAGTTCAAGGGTTCTGCATCCTCCTAGAGCAGAAAAAAACTCCTCCTACAAGCTTTAACCAGTGCTCTGCTGGACACTGATAGAAGTCACAAGACTGCTCTAACTGCTGATCAGAAAAGGTATTTAGCAGTTTATATTTACTACAATAATTGCACTTCCATGTTCTGTGTACTGTGGGAGACCAGATATAGTGAATGCAGGGTCCTGGGTTTAGTAACACTTTAAATGTGGTGGCTGCATTCACTTTTTTCTTCAGGCTTTTTATCCTTTATTTTTCCCTGGTGATCTGGACAGTAACACATTTTCTGTCTTAGTGTGTCTCCACTCTGAGTGAAGGAGCAACAGAGACACCTTTTAACAAGCATTGTTGGTCTGGGGAAAGAGTAGTGTTGATGCACTGACAGATTTAGGCTGCTTTCACAATGATATGGTGCGGTTTGACAGCACTGCAGGAGCAGCACAGTATGCCTATGGACTTATATTATGTTGCGCTGTTTTGGTGCACATTCTGAAACAAGGGGGCCTGGACAGCAGGGGGTGGGGGTGACAAGAGCAGATGGATGGAGGGGTGGGGGTAAAGATACTGGATCTGATCGCCCTACAGCATAGCAAAAATTCTGAAGAATTGAAGGACTCATTCACATGTGCTTTTCCCTCTCAAGAGCAGTCAGCATTTAGATCGTTCCTCAGACAGCATTTGACAGGTGGTGAGCAGGCATATTTCCTCCTCTCCACCTGCTTTAACCCCACACTAGCGCAGCCATGTCAATGAGTGAATTGTTTATGCGGTTGGAGCCGCCTGTTAATCTAAGGGTAAGCAGTGGCTGTACTGTACAAACATAGCCACAGGTCCTAATTTCTGTTTATGTTTGGAGTCGTTCACCTGCACCCACACGCCTGTCAAATTAGGACCTGTGGCTGTGTTCGTACAGCTGCTGCATTCCCATAGGATAACATAGGCTGCCTACATAAAGCTCCACATAAACTAACCACTGATTCATACTGTACAGGCCACAGCATCCATGTGAATGAGCCCCAAGACCTCATTCACACACAGATTTATTTAGACTTTATTTATGAATTCAATGCAGCTTTGTCTTTTAGATTTAGCAGACATTTAATTGTTTGTGCCCACTAATAATGATTTTAGTGTATTTGTAATGAAAATATCATTTAATTTTTTTTTCAGGGGGGCTGTCAGGTAGGCTGTACCGAGCCCCTGTGAATTCTAACACTGCCTGTGCTAAGTTGCCTGATAATGGTATAGAGCAGGGGTGTCAAACCGGTGGCCCTCCACCTTTTGCGAAACTACAAGTCCCATCATGCCTCTACCTTTGGGAGTCATGCTTGTAACTGTCAATCTTGCAATGCCTCATAGGACTTGTAGTTTGGCAACACCTGGATGGCCACCAGTTTGACACCCGTGGTATAAAGTGCTTGCAATAGTATTGCCCCATTACATTTCAGAGTGTGCATTATCATTTTCAGGTATTGTGCTTGTACTGCTGTGCTTTCTACCTTGTCATTGTATATTGATGTGGTTAATTCTCTATTTGATTTATCCCTTCAACCCGTTCCTGACAAGCATATGCATATATGTGGCCTCATGGAATTGGGTCTTGATAAGTGGGGCCATCACTGAAAGCTCAGAGTCTTGAAAATGGTCGGGGAGTGGGAGGCCCAGTTCCTGATTATCTGATTGCTGCGATAGCCTCTGATTTTTTTCCCCCTTTTGAATGGAGAAAAAGATGCATTGTATCTCTTTATCCTTCCCAGAGGAGAAACGTGTAAACAATGAAAAGTATGTGTAAATAAATATAGTGTAAAATAGCTAGATCAGATCTAGGTTATTGTCAGGGTTAAGCTGGCCATGGATAGTTTGAATCTCAGCTGGTTCAGTAGAAATCATCTATGGGCAGACTAATTGTACCCAATTTAGTTGTTGTACAACCAACCTGTCAAATATTTCATGTATTATTACTGCTAGCAATAATCACTGTGTTCTCCTGGCAGGGACGGATCACTCTGCACCTTCCCGCCGTGAGAACACAATAGCTCCGCGGGAAGGATTCGCCACATCAACACTGACCCATGGTTGCAGGAAAGAAAATCGCATCATCTATGGCCAGCTTAAGGGTCAAGATTAGAATCAAAGGTCGTGGTTGGGGCCAAAGGTCAGGATCAATGTATTTTAGGTAGGATTTAAAAGAAGAAATATGAAATTGGTTTCAGTATCAGTTAGTGTTAGTGTGCTTTTGATAGGATAAAAAAAATCAAAATACGCACTATTGTTTCTGGGCCCTACTATGTGTATAAACAACAAATAACATACACATAGGAGAATTTATTTTGGGTTGTTCTTTGGTCGTAGGTTATGGTAATAGCAAGAAATATACTGCTAAATTTAAAAAAAAATTGCATTTGTGCCAGTTTCCTTTTGGTAATATATGTCCTGAAAAAAATAAGATATAATTCAGCTGGGTACATGTACAGTTTTCCTAGCACATACAAAGCTGTGTTCAGGTGTTAAGATTTGTTTTACCCTTTTCATGAAGTGGTTAAAGGGTTTTTGCCTTTTATAGAAAGCCTGTCAAACTCCTCCTCTGGGTGAGTTTGGGGACAGTTTGGGTAGGTCTTTGTGGGAGAGAGAAGACCTCCTTTGGGGGTGAGCTCTACAAGAACAATAAATTAAGTAATGTTTAACGCTAGACTGCTTTATCTTGAGGATTTGCATCTACATGGGGGGAGCCCACCATTTTGTTGGCTGTATGCAGATGATTAATACAGATTGCTTTTTACACTTATGTTAATTTTTTACCATTTTGTTATTTTTTTGTGGCTTTATGTTACATTTGTTAGGAATTTCATCAATATATAAACTGCTAAGCTCACTCTGAAAATGAGGGAATATTATGAAAACTTTGAAAACAGCTTGGCTCTGTTTGTATTGGCCGTGCTGCATCCAGAAGGTTTTGTGCATGTAATTTTACTACAGTCAGATGTTCCTCTCATATTTTGCAAAGCATTTAGACACAATGACACGGTCTTCTTGTGAAAGTGTCTGCTGAAAAATCTGGTTTTGTTGCCCAAAGACACCAAACAGCTTCTCCCTTCTAATGTAGTAGTGGGAGAATGAAGGGGAGAACCTAATTGGCTGGTATGCATAAAAAGAATACATTTTCCTTCCTTTTCACTGTCAGAAGGTCAAGTCTCATCTTCTTCTAAAAACAGAGTTGATACGTTTATAATGTCCCATGGACTAAAAGATTTTAACATCGCAGTGCAAATGTTTACAAAGATGAAGTTGATGTAATGCCTGGAAACACCACTTCCTAATAAACCAGAGTATAGTCATGCTTTAGAATTTGAATAAACTAATAGTTTCTTTTAATCTAGGAAGATAAGTAAGCATGAATCTTTTGTCCATTTTTTCCCATTTCTCTTTCAGTCTTTCTCTCTCTCTTTCTTTCTCTCTTTCGCTTTGTCTGTCAGTGCTTGCTTTCCTTTCCATTTCCCCATTTCATTCTTTCCCACGCTCTGCTTTTCCTCACTAGTCCTCACATCTGTTCCTAATCTCTTTTTCAATGTTCTCTTTTCTCTTGTCCTCCTCTCCTCCCTGTGTATTCCTTTCTGTTTGTAACGCCTAGCCTAGCAAACTTGATTGTGTGTTTTGTAGCCAGCTCTTAAATACTGCTTAGAAAAATGTATGAGGCCCTTCTGATTTTAACTTTTTCAATGCCAAGCACAACAAGAGATTTCTATGACTGTGGCATGTTTGTTCTCTTCCAAAGCTCACAAAAAAAGTGTGTTGGCTACAAACAAAACATTGTGTAAGAAAGAACAACAAAACTTTAGCAAAGTGCCTATTTACTCACCATGATCAGATGCAGCCCCAGGTTTCTTTACTTCCATTTCTCACAACTTCTTGGGTTTGCAGACATGCCCAGAGAAGATAAGTTCCTTAGCTTCCCTCCCTCGGCATCTCAAAAAGGCCATTCCTGATTGTGAAGTTAATGTAGACTAGGCACCTCACAGGGCTGCGTAAAAAGGGCAAGGCCACCATGTTGTTCAGAAGTCAACCATGACAGTTTGTAACAGTAGGAGACATAACAGCAGTGATCCCCTTTACATCCTCCCAGGAAGGCATCTGATACAATCAATAAACTTTTAGCTGCATTGCAGGATATCTTTATCAGTCCATTAAGAGGACATGTAGACCCTCTAAACCCTAATAACTGAATACACAAGTCATTTTTGGTGTCCTCATAAAATGGTCACACTTGCAAACTTCAGTATTTAGGAAAGCAAACAAATATCCTTTCAGATCAACCCCCATCGTAAATAGCTTAGCTGGAGTCATTAGCAAATACAAATTTCTGTCTATCTCATTCTGAAACATCCAAACCTCAGTGTATTTCATAGCTCCTGATTTAATAACAGTACTGCAAGGATAAAGACACAATTACCCGTAAGAAATAATCAGCAGCATTTTAAGCCAAACACCACTATATAAGAAGGAACAGGAGGCCTAACAGAACACATTACCTCTTCTAGGTGAAATAGGTATCTGACACCCCCATATTTATATTCATTCAAAAGATAATTTCACTATGGACAATGGCAGACTGTAATCTGTAGATATTCAAAGATATTCACACCTATAGAAAACTGTATTTGTGGCATATTCATAAACATGATGACATCCCATCGGCCACACCCTAGACCGGGTGATTGGCCAAATCATTTCTGTCAACACTCCCCTTAAGGTCCAGAAATGAGGGACTGCAATCACATTCGACAGCTGTCCTTTACCATCAAAACAAGGAACACTTGTCAGGTCTTATGAGAGTTTTGTACATTGTACTATCTTGCTTGTTGATTGGACTTTACTGAATCATGACTTGATAAGTATCTTTCATTTTTTAACCTTTCTGGTTTTCTGTTTTATTGTTGCCTCTTTTTCCTTGGTAATACTTTTTTTTTTTAAATTTTTTTTTTTGCACCATTTTTTTCTTAACCACTTGCCCTCCAGAAAATTTACCCCCCTTCATGACCAGGGCATTTTTTGCTGTTCGGCACTGCGCTATTTTAACTGGCAATTGCGCGGTGGTGCAATGCTGTACCCAAACAAAATTTATGTCCTGTTGGTGGTATTCGATCACCTATTGCAGTTTTTACTTTTTACGCTATAAACAAAAAAAGATAGAAC